CAAGCTCGGTGCTGGCGGGATGTCAGCTGCACTGGACGAGCGGCATGGCTTCCTGCAGAGCTTCACCACGCTGCTACTGCGGGTCCAGCTGGACAAGTGGAGCAAGTTTGTAGGCAGCGAGGAGGCTGCAGCCGTGCTGGATGAGTTCTTCAAGCAGCAGGACGTGCTGGAGCTGGTGCTGGGGCTGAATCCCTCCGGGCAGCTCCTGCCGACCGCCTGCTTCCCACCCGCCCTCAGGGGCAAGGGTGTCTACTTCGTGAAGAAGAAGAGGGAGAACATCACCCGGGATAACTGCCGGAGTGGGCTGCTGGTGGGAGACATCAGCCCCTCACCAGTGGAGCAGCTCATCACCGTGGTGGAGGAGGTAGGTCACCCATGTGGGTGGCTGCCGGGGCACAGGCTCGGGGCAGGTGAGATGAGCAGAGCTCTCCATGCACGCCACTGCAGCCTGGATACCCGCTGCAGGCTGCTGTAGCCAAAACTTTAGGTAAGCTCAAAAAGCAACTAAAGGAAATTAATAGAAGAAAAATTTTCCCAGGCACTGGCCCTGGCCTCACGGTGGCTCTCGGCTGCCCGCCCTGCTGTGCTGGTGGGCTGACCGAGGCTCACCAGGACACAGAGCTGGGTGAAGGTCACAAGCCTGGTTTTCTCCCAGGGCCCAGCTGGATCACTTCCTCCCTGTGGTTTTAAAAACTCAGCGTAATTCCCCCTTACCCATGCCCCGCAGCTGGGAAATGTCTGAGTGGATTTCTCCCAAACTTCCCATAAATATTCCCGCTCAGAGGACTGCCAGCCCAGAGCACCCAAAAGCTGAGTCAGGCCCCAGGAGCCCCCGCAATTCCTCTTCTTCAATGCCTGGGGCTTTTGCTCGTGCGCCAGCCCCTCACCCTGCTGGGTGCACTCATTGCACCGCTCCCAGCACTTCCCAAACCATGAGTCAGAAACCCGCCACAGGGTGAGGGGACTCCTGGTTGTGCTGATGAGAAAAAACATCAGCAAAACCCATCTGTGGCTGCCGGAGCTGTGGCTGGGCTGAGACTGGGCTCGGGTGGGCAGCAAGAGGGGACGCTGTGCAAACCAGCGTGGCTGCACGCTGCCCTTTGCAACGGGAGAGCCGGTGCTCCCGACCGAGCACCCGACTAAGCACCCAACCAAGCCCTCTCCTCCAGGTCGTGTCCCCCCTGCTTCTGAGTGAGGAGAACATGGTGGGCTGGCCCAGGGTGGTGGTGGAGGACATCGTGCGACAAGCCCACCAGCTGAAGAACAAGATGTTCGTGATGGGCGGGAAGATTCAGGGGAAGCCGCTGCTCCCACTGCCAGAGCACCTGGATGGCCAGGACGACTCCAGCACCGTCCTGGACTGGTGGGTGCTGCCAGCACCGCTCAGTGCTAGCAAAGTCTGGCAGGGGCCCGGGGCAGCACAAGTCCCTCTGGGAAGGATGGGAGCCAGGACGCTAGCTTGGTCCCTGAGCATCCCTGGGCACAGCCGCTCCTCAGCAGCAGAGCACCTTCGAGCGGCTCATGCCAGGCTGTCGTGCTGGTGGAGGTGGCTGCAAGTGGGTGCACAGGACTCCCCTGGGGCAGCAGGGCTCCTCCAGGGCGGTTTGGGGCCAGTCCCGGTGCTGGAGCGTAACCTGGCTACCTTTTAGCCTGGCAGGGCTTGTGGACGTTTCAGTACTGCACTCCATCGAGACCATTGTCATCGAGTGGTCCCACCAGGTCAGCGACATCCTGAGCAAGGACTCGGCGCAGCCGCTGCTGGAGGGGCTGCACCCCCTGCCCAGGGCAGAGTTCGAGTTCTGGCACACCAGGATGGTCAACCTGCAGTGCATCAACAACCAGGTACCTCCTTGCCCATGGGCAGCTGGCAGCCGTGAGTCCCCGGTGCTGAGCCCCCGGTGCTGAGCCCGCCACCTCTCCCCTCCCAGCTGCTCTCGCCCCGAGTGACGACGCTGGCTGAGGTGCTGGAGAAGGCCAACAGTTGCTACTGGCCAGCACTCCAGAGCATGTTCAGGGACGTCAGCGCCGGTAAGCCCCCGGGTGATGTGGTGGGCAGCTGTCTCTCGCCCCCCCGGGGAGGCTTCCCCATCCCTGACGCGGAGTTTCTCCCCTGGCCCAGGCCTGGAGGAAGCCAAGGACGTCAGCCTCCACCTGCAACCGCTTCGGATCCTGCTGGAAGAGATGGAGCAAGCGGATTACTCCCAGGTAAATTATATGTGGCAAAATAACCAGGCACCGCCTGGCTTCCTCGGCCAGGTAGAGGCGGTGGTACTGAGCCCCAGAGGCTGCGTGCAGGTGCGGATCCGCCCTGGCTCTGCCCGACCCTCGTTAGCGCGGCCACGGCCCTGCACTAACACGGCTCTGCTCCCGCAGCTGCAGCCCTACGTGGACAGGGCGCTGTGCACCGTCCGCCTCCTCCGGGCTTACTGCCAGCACTACAGCTCACCCGCCCGTGTCATCGTCGTCCTGCAGGAGATCTGCAACCTCCTCATGGAGATGGTAGAGCCCCGGGCCCGGCCGCGGCTCCAGAGGGACAGGGGCAGGGCAGCACCCAGCCACCCCCTCCTCCAGCCGCCTCACTGTGGCACCGTTAACAGGAGGGGTGACACAGGGCAGGCGTGGGGAGCCCAGCTGGGGTGACATAGAGACACCCCAATCAAAGGACCAGCAAAGCCCCCACGTAGGGCTGGAGGGGGTTTGGGGCAGGCGTGGGCTGCAGGCAATCACCAGAGAGCCCGTGGGGCCGGACGGGGGCAGGAGAAGCCCCCTTGCTCCCCTCTGCCAACAGCCCCTGCCTGCATCTGCCTGTCCTAGAGCCGTAACTTCCTGAGCCCCGAGGACGTGATGAAGGGGCTGCAAGGAGAAACCGAGGAGACCTTAGGGGGAATCAGACTGAGCATTTCCACCATAGAGAAGCTCTTCCAGTCCTACAGCACTTACTGCTCGGACCTGATTCCCACGTTGTTCCCGGTGGGTGCAGGGGACGATGCGGGGCCACCTGGCCCGGTCCACGCCAGGTCCGCTCGCTGACGGCCCCTCTCCACTTCCAGGAGGAGTCACAGCTCTGGGAGTTCTCCCCTTCCCTCATCTTCAAGAGAACGGACTCCTTCTTGCACAGGCTGAAGACCATTGAGGTGACAGCACAGCATTTTGGGGCATGGCACCAGGCCCATATGGGCTCCCCCTGTCCTGGGGATGCCGGGGTGGTCCCCTGAGAGTGGCACTGGGGCAAACTCCACTCCAGCCCCGGGGCAGGCTGGGGCCGCTGGCGCAGGTGAGGAGCAGAGGGAAGATGGGAGCTCAGCAGTGGTGCATTGCTGGGAGCACAGCGGCAGTGCATTGCTGGGAGCACAGCGGCATCGTTCCCAGCACACCACCCATGCCCCCATGCCCCCGGGGCCTCACAGGCACCCCGAGCCAGGCCACAAAGCACCCCCTGGAAGGATGCTCCTCAGGAGCGGTGAACTCGCAGGACGCAGCCCTGCACTGGTGCTGCAGCTCCTGCACCCGCAGCACTGAGGCACGGGGAGCCGGGGTTTGTCACCAAGACGAGCCGGGTCAGGTGATGGTTTGTGCTTGCCAGGAGCTGTACCAGACAGCTATCGAGTTTCTGAAGCTGGAGAAGGCAGAGCTGGGGGGAGTGAGAGGAAACATCCTCGGGAGCCAGGCATTTCAGATCTACGAGGAGGTGTCTGAACTCATCAAGGGTTTTGCTGATTGCAAATATGATCCCTTAGATCCCGCAGAAGAGGTGAGTGAATGCTGGTATGGAAGTGTATGCATTTGCTAATTAAAAAAAATTGCTTGCCAGGACACGCTGGAAGAGCTGCACGTAAGACTGTCCCACGGCAGCATGCATGCTCGCTTTGGGGCAGGTCATGGGACTCCGAGGCATCCAGGTTCAGTGAATCCTTCAGGAAGGATTTGGGAAGGAAGCGTAGAGGCTGCGCCTGCTTAAATCGTTTTTCTCTCACTGGCAGCAATTGAACAAAGACTTTGCAGAGTTCCAGGAGAAGATTCAGGACGTGGACAGGCGACTGGCCACCATCTTCTGCCAAGGCTTTGATGACTGCAACAGCCTGGCATCTGCTGTGAAGGTACAAATGCCCTCCCCCAGCTTGATGGGTCCTGCCCTCGGGCACAGGGTGTCCTCGCTTGAGCTTTGGAGGCTGGCAGCAGGCACACTGCCTGCAGCCCAGCACACTGCACCCGTGCGCTTGGGAGTGACCCTGGGGGTGTCACCGGGCCGTTCCAGTGATGCTCTGGAGCACAGAAGCCAACGCCTCTTTCTCCTGCAGTTGGTGCACATGTTTGCCTCCCTGCTGGAACGGCCTTTGATAAAGGCTGAGGTTTCCCCCTGTTACTCAGCCCTGCTGGGAATGTTCAGCGCCGAGCTGGATAATGTGAAGGCGCTGTATGACACCCAGACCACTTCCCCACTGCCGTGCAGGGGGGGCCCGCCCATCAACAAAAACATGCCGCCGGTGGCCGGGCAGCTGAAGTGGGCTCTGGAGCTGCAGCAGCGGCTGGAGGGGCCACACAGGGACTTGTTCGCCATCAGCCACCCGTACGTGCCGGTCCACCCCGTCACCCCATGGGGATGAGGGGCAGCAGCCGGGGCAGGATCTGGCCCGGCGTGTGTCTCCTCCCGTGCTCTACTGCAGCAACTGCTTCTTTATCATGACCTTGACAGTGTGATGGTCAGTGCTGAAGCTAGACTGGTGTCTGGGAAGTACGAAGAAATGATAGGACTGCTGCAAGGTTACCGTGAGAAGGTCTACGAGGAGTGGGTGTGCGGAGCCGGCCAGGACTGCCACTTCAGCCTGGAGCAGCCCTTGATCCTGAGGGACCCCAGCTCTTCCCTCCTCAGCGTGAACTTCAGCAAAGAGGTCGGTGCTGGCGCAGGCAGCCAACCTGGCGCAGGGGAACGCCAGCGATCACCCGCCTGAATGTAAATTTGACTTTCTCAGAGGCTGTGGTGAGACATTTCAGGTTTTACTAACAAGCCTTGCCTCCGGCCATTGTGTCTCGCAGCTCGTCGCTGTTCTGCGGGAGGTGAAATACTTGAACTTCCAGCAGCAGAAGGATATCCCAGGCAGTGCTGAGAGCCTCTTTGCTCAAAATGAGACTTTCCAAAAGTTTGTGGACAACCTGGATCTTATCGTTGGCTGGTACAATGAGGCAGGTTGCAAAGGGGAGATAACCTGGCTGCTTTTCCATGCCCTGGGGCCTGGTCAGGCTGAGACTGCCTGGGGAGCCCCCAGGGGAGAGGCTCTTATGAAATGGGCCCTGGAAGCCCGAGGGGATTGGGGTACACTGGGCACGTCACCGGCACCCTGGGTCCCTGCCCGTCCCATGGCTGAGTCGAGCTACCGTTGCTGCCACCACACCGGCCTCCTTCCGCCCCCTAAGCTCTGTCAGTGGGGTGGGAATCCCATTCCTCTGTAAAACCAGTGACCTAGCGAGCGCGTCTCAGCCGGAGCAGGGTCCCTCCTCTGCCTGCAGCACTCACCTGTGGACATGTTGGTCCCCCAGGTGAAGCGGAGACTGCTGCCGGTGGAGCTCCCACTGGTGGCGGGGGAGCTGGAGGCCATGGATGGCCAGCTGGCCAGCGCAGAGCACACCCTGTTTTGGAACCATGAAGGTACAAACCCACCCCTGGTTGCCCAAGGCCAGAGATCCTCTTTGTGCGTTTCGGGGGGTCCCCGGCACTGTCCCACCTCCTGCCCAGCGGCTGCCCTCGGGTCCCCACAGCCATCACACCCAAAACGCGGATCCCTGCCCCGCAGGCGTGGCTGGGTGGGTGAGGTGGGGGGGCCAGACAGTGTGCCCCCCCGCCGTGGTGGATAGCCCCTAAGTGCCCTGACCACGGCTTGCTGCCTTGGAGGCGTCTGCGTAACCTGTCAAGCTTGGACGTGCGTTTTCCTCCCAGGTGTCATGGAGTACATCCAAGAGATGAGAGAGATCTTGTACGACTTGCAGACCAGGGTCCAGAAAGCAAAGTTAAACATGGAAAATATCACCCAGCTGATGGAGGTAGCTTTTGCTGGTGCTTTACGAGTGCCTTCCCGGGAAGCCTCCTGCAGGGGTTTACCCTTCCCCAGCACAGCGGAGCAGCCCTGTCGTCTTCTCCCTGCAGGAGTGCTCAGCTGCTCCCTTGTTTGAAAGGAAAGACAACAAGGAGGCAGCACTCTTGGACCTGGACGGGAAAGCAAACACCTTAACCAAGCGCTATGCTGCCATTAGGGATGCAGGCGTAAAGATCCAGGAGATGGTGGAGGTGAGACACGTCCCAGGACACTTCAGTCGGAATTGATTAACAAGGAGTGTGTCCGGCGCTCGCGTGCTGCGATGCTCTGAACCCAGTGGTGTGTCCCCCCTTTTATAACTGTGAGCGCTGGACTCAAAGCCGGGGTGCAATCCTCCGGTCTCTGCTGAGACGAGGCTCCAGTGAAGGGCCATAAAACACCTCACACGGCCTCCAGAAATCCTCTGCCCTCCCGGGGTGAGGTCTTGGCTGCAGCTTCTGGTGTCATACAGCTGGGAGAAGGGAAGGATGCAGGATCTGTGCGACAGCCAGGCAGGACAAACCCGCAGGGGCCATGAGAGGGAACTCACTCGCAGTGTTAGGAGCTGGTACATTTGCTGGGTATTTATTGAAAAGTATTAGTTGGGGTTTTTTCTGCTTGCAGGAGAATGCAGATCTGTTTAAGGCTGATAAGTCGTCGCAGATATGGCTGGACTATGTGGGATACATAGATGGAATCGTGCTGGATGGACTATTCAGACTTGTCCACAAATCTCTGCAGCTGCTGCTCACCAACATGGCCCCTGACGTAGGTCCAGGTTTGCCCTGTGGCGTGGTGCCCGTTCTTTGCCCATACTCGGGATGTCCCACCATTCACTGTTTGGTGGCCAAACGTGCCCATCCCAGCGCTCCCCGGTGCACCCGGGCAGCGAGCGCCGGAGGTGCTGGTGTCCCCCTTGTCCCCGCTGTGGAGGGGCCGTGGGGCTGGGTGCTGGGGTGGGCACAGGAGGGAGCTGAAACACACGGGTTGCTGACCTGTTTCAGGCCAATGTGGCCCCGTTGTTCGAGGTGCGCATGGAGCTGTGCGACGGCAGAGTGCGGTACCATCCCTCGCTGGAGGCGGGAGATGACAACAGCTTCTTGGAGCTGGTGGAGAGCCTGCTCAGCGATACCTACGCATCTGCGGCATGCATGCCTCGGCTGCTGGAGGGGAAGCTGAGCTACAAGGTCAGTCCATGGCGGGTGGCACCTCCCAGCTTGGCCGGAGGTGGGTGAGGATGCCCGGTCCCCTGAGCCGGTCCCCG